GCTGGACAAAGACATTCTTTGAAGAATACATCTCTGAATTATCTCTTTAACAAAGCTATAAGAGAACATTATAACCAAATGATATAAAAACAGAAAGGCTAAAAATATCTCCAAATCACAGCCATCTGAATCTTGTTTTGGTCTAGGTTATAAACGCCACCATATTCCCTTGCTCACTCCAGAGTAGATTCACGTGAAGTTAATGAAGATCAGGCTTCAGGGCCCGTTCCCGCTCCAGCCCTGAGGGCTGGGAGTTGGCAGCTGGAGAGAGCCATAAGCATAAGCGGGGAGGGGAGGCCAACTAGCAATTAGGGAGTACGTCTATGTAAGTTTTTCTGAAAAGCTGCCTAAAAAAGGTCTCTGAAGAAAGGGTCTGAATCTCAAGCCTCCATTAATTTGTTCTGATTTACTTTCTCCTTCTAAATAAATACCCACTTTCAGGCCTAATTTTAAAGAGGCTCCTCTCCCCCAAATTTTACAGGCTCTTGGCCCCACAGCAAGTGGATCTGCTTTTACCTGCAGCAAATGGAAGCAACCCAGGGAGCATCACTGACCACTGTGTGTGAAGAGCTGACCGTCCTGCTCTCGTCCCGGTCTCGGGCTTCCCCACCCACTCACACACCCCACACTCCTGCTCATCAATTCTCTGTCACTATCACCCACCTTCCTCCTAGTTTCCACCCACCATCCTCTACAGACTTGCTAATACCCTTCTCCATCAATCCTTTCTTCCCTGCGCATTTCTGACAGCATCTCCATGGGGATGAAGAGGAGGCGGAGTTGCGGGAAGAGCGGGCTGGGAAGGCACAAGTCGCTGAGCCATGGCTACGGCAGATGTTCCCACAGTGGCTGTGGTGGTGGCATGGCAGGGCACACGGGGTAAGAGAAGGTATGGAACAGTAAGCAATCGCTCCAAAAACTCATCACCTGAAGGGCTTCAGAGACTATGGTGCACACTGAGAGTGACCACGAAAGGGAAAAACAGAAATTTCATCAACCTAAAAGGTGCTATGACGTGATGGCCAGAGAATGGAACAGAATGCAAAAGCAGCGCACACTGTGGCTCTGACCACGAAGGGCGTCTCTGAGTACATATGGGAACGAAATGCAAGGGTGAGAATAGTCACACAGCGAATAATCTGATTACGGGTGATAGAGCTTTTTCCTAAAATTCCTCTGATGTCGTCACATCGTTTCAATTCTTTTTTTAACAAGGAAGCTTCCCCTAGCAGGATGGACGTGCAACTTGGGCTGTTCTCAGTGCTTTGCTGTATTTGCACATTTAATCTTGGGATTGCATTACGCCATGTGATTGCAGAAAGGGGACTGAGACAATATGGAACGCAGAAAGAGAACATCCGTTTAAGAGGCAGCCTTCTAATAATAAGACTTAACCAAGAGCTGCTATTTTTTTTTCTGCTTTATCTCCCAAACCCCCCATATAGATGTATATCTTAGTTGCAGGTCCTTCTAGTTGTGGGATGTGGGACGCCGCCTCAACGTGGCCTGACGAGCGGTGCCATATCCGTGCCCAGGATCCGAACCCTGGGCCGCCGCAGCGGAGCGCGTGAACTTAACCACTCAGCCACGGAGCCAGCCCCAAGAGCTGCTATTTTTAAATTATCGATAAAAGACGCGATGAGGATGAGAAGCTCAGCGGAGTGGTGAAGGCAATCTTACACAACATGAACAAGCTGTTGGGGGACTCTGAATGGCAGCCTGCCTCCAGCCCACTGAGGACCACAGCTCCAGGAGAGGAGGATGCCACGGTCCATCCCTCGGTTCCTGAAGCTGAGCCACGGGTTTGTGTACGTACGAGTGAGGTGAATCAGAGTGATATGTCATCAGAGAGAGGAAATTAGAAAGATGACCATCCCAATTCATTTTTTTATCAGACACTTTTCAAAGATCAAAATGGATAGAAAAGGGGAAAAAATAAGCTTTACTAGAGCCAAGCTTTCCAGTTATAAATAGAAAATGCACTTGTTCTCTGATATGTCATCTAAGACTCTGCAGAGTATATGCCATCAGGTGGGATAAAGTTGTTCATAACCAGAGCAGACGCAGCCCCGGCCAGCAGCGGGTCAAGGTAACTGGGTCAGAGATGGGGCTCCAAGGAAGGGCAGCTCACCCACAGCCCACGGGCCTCTAGTTAGAGTTTGCCCAGGACTCTGACATGAGCTGATCCTGGAATCAGTGAAGAATGGCAAGCTGTAACCTTTTTTCAACACCCCATCAGAGGAATTATCAAGTTCTCCCCACCTGAGAGGGAATACAGAAACATGCCTCAATTCTAAGGGATTTGCAATTCTGAATATTTAGGGTATCCTTTGCTAATCCAGTCTGTTGCTACTGTCTGGCTACTTCAGACACAAGAACTAGTTTCAAAAACTTCAGATCTCAGTTTCTTTTCCATCAGTCCAAACATCTACTCCCGACAGCTTCAAGTGACAACAAGCCATCACTGAGCACAAACTTTGGGAGACACACAGCACCACACCATTACAGCGCTTCCACGAAACAGACACTGTAGGCATAAGTAACGTCAAGGGGCAGAGGTAACCGTAAATGTAATACAGTATTAGGAAGAGAAGAGTATTACCTTTGTTTATTTGTTTGGTTTTGGTTTGGGTTTTTCTTGGTGAGGAAGATTCACCCTGAGCTAACATCTGTGCCAGTCTTCCTCTACTTTGTATGTGGGATGCCTCCACAGCATGGCTGATGAGAGGAGCAGGTCGGCCCCGGGATCCGAACCCACAAAGTCAGGCTGCTAAAGTGGAGTGCGTGGAACTTTCACCACTGGGCCCTGGGGCCAGCCCCTTACCTTTGTTTTTAGTAAGATCTATGTATTGTAAGTTTATATAATTTAATTATGAATAATGGCTATATTTAACAACTGGCTCACAAAATTCCTCAAAATTTAACAATCAGCTATTACAAACTGGTAGAAGCAGCTTTTAGCATACCAAACCAATTAAATCAAAATCTCTGGAGGTGGGGGCATTGTTGTTTTTAAAAGGTCTCCAGATGATTATAACATGTGGCCAAGGTTGAAAGACCAGTGGTCTGTGCTAATGCCAGAGGATGCGGCCGATGTCCAGGCTTCCTGGAATATGGCAAGAGGAATTTATTCTCTGAGAGAAAGGGGATGTTCCGAAGGAGAAAACTGAGGAGAAAGAAGGGAGAAGCAAATGAGGCTGAGTACTTCGCGGGGAAAGAATCACAAAGCAGGAGACCGCCTTGGAGGAAGGAGAGGGAACTTCCAGACAAGACCAGGGGGACCAACCACCCCATTTTGCCTGTGGCTGAGACGTTTCCTGGATGTGGCACTTTCTGTGCTAAAACCGGGAAAGTAACCGGCATACTACTGGAGGCATTAGATTTTCCATTTTAATTTATTTTTATTAATTGAAATTTACACAGCTACCTGTGGCTATGGTATGCACAGCACAGTAAGTCCACACAAACACAGCATGACGCCTTCTCTGCCTTTATAAATTTCCTCTTTTTTTGCTGGTATGGAAAGAACTTTGAAGCATATGAAAAGGGGAATACATGAGAGTAACAATTCAGATCCTAAAGTTAAATATTTGCTATCAAGCCCATGTGCTAGTGTGACTAAGTGATAGAAATTATTCAGAAATATGCAACAAACTTGTGAGGAACAAAACACTTTTATGTTTTCCAAGTCATAAGATAGTTGTCAATGTAAATGAGTGGGGTGACTGGCATTACGACGATCTCTCTCCCTCATCTAGCTCCTCTCTTAACCAACAGCAAGGACTTGACAAAATGGTGGAATAGGTCTGCAACCAAGTCAAAAATCTGGAAAAGAATAATGCTGCCAGACTATAGGAACCCTTGACCTTGACGTCTTGAGCATCACTTCCTAAACTCTTAGCTGACTAGCACAGACCATGAGAAATAAATTATCATATTTATCCTGGAGTTACATTTCCCCAAAGGTCAATTTTTACATGGTAACATTCTCATTCAAAATGCAAACATAGGAATGCCATTTAAAACAAAACAGGTTATAGATAGAAAATATAATGTTTATAATATTATTTGCAGAACAAAATTTAATATTTAAAAGGAAGAATTATAGAGAAAAAAGCTGATCAAAATATAATTACTTGGAATGTTATCACATTCAAATACAAATATAATCAAAAGGAAATGTAGAGTTGTAGTAATGGTTGTTCCTTAGATGGAAAAGGGCCACACGTGGAGTAATCCAAAATTTACTAGTTATAGTCTCTTGAAATGTGGGACATGAAATTATAGGACAATACCAACTTGACAGACCTACACAGATGCTCTATTATGATAAACAAAAGTGTGTAAATTCCCTAAGCGTCAGTGCCTAATCCAGTTTAGCCAAGTAGGAGTTATTATTTTTCTCCTCCAAAGATGCAACAGCAAAGAGTCGAGGACATTGAGCCATCTTGTCCTGACAAATAACCAATTCACGTTTTTCCCAGCATATTCTTAAGTATTGATTTTACCAAGTGAACTCGACTCGTGTCACACTTATCCGGTACAGATCCTTTCCCTGGAAATGTCCTTTGTACATCGATCATTTGCTGGCCTTTCACCTCTAATTCCTATTGCCTCTGTCTGCCTGTGATTAAAGCTTGTCCATTTCTCCAAATCAGTTATTTTTAAAAACTGAAATACATAGTGACTCTGGTGAAAAATATATGTTTCTGGGGAAAGTATGTAAATGTTCACATGATTAAATTTCTTCATTAAAATTACTTTTCTGTGTTGAAAACTAGTTAAAGTTTATAAATCCATATTTGAAAGGCCTCTAGGTATTTTCTTTTAAAAACACATCCCCTGAATGGTAATATTAGCACTTGTAAGCCAAACTGCAGTTTGAGGAAGACAACATAAAAAGAAATGCGAGCCGAGTGGCATTGTTACAGGATCTTCAATGGAGCACAGAGTGTTTTGTCTCTGGCTGAACTCAATGAGAGACACAGAATGACACCCACCTTGAGCTGCAGGCCTCCTGGGAGAAGAGTGTTTGTGGGAAGGCTTTTAATGTGTTGGTAGACATAAGAGGAGAATTGCTCCTGCTCAGCCTGTAATTGGGGGCCAAGTTTAGAGAGATGACCTCTGTTGCTTTTGATAGCTGTCTGCAATTCATCAATCAGCCCGCTCACCTGAAGGAGTTAAATTACAAGAGCTGTTAGCAAGAAGTAATTGTTGATGTCACACCTATTAGATTTTTGAGTTCCTAGTTTGATGGGGGGAAAATGACTTCAATATAAAAACTTGAGTACAGAACGCTCTTCAAATAAACAGAGGAGATACACATTCCTTCATCAATAAATTTTATTTATGGGAAAATTTCTAACCTTTATACTTTAGTAATATGGAATAGGTAGCCATTTACAATTGCTGAACAAAAAATATCTCTGGATATGAAAAGAAACATATACATCTGACAAGGTTGCCAAAGACTTGTAAATCGCTTAACAGACTAAAACCTTCCTAAGACCTTAATTAATCCAATATATGCACCAACGACATTTAATTTATTATTATTAGATGTATGTTCCATTTTAGAATATTTTATTTTACTATTTGTACGTTTCATTTAAAATTTTAATTCATATATTAGATCCATTAACATTTTGTTGACCTTTTAAATAAATCAATCTTTCTTCCAAATATTCCAAAATATAATTTTCCAAATTTTATAAATACAATTTTCAAAAATATCCACATTTCAAAGATAATTCTCTATTCTAGACAATGTTTTGAATATACATCAATTTCTGAATAAAGCACAGAATTTTTCCAGAAACAGTAAAGGCTTAGAAACATGTACCCTTTATTTGTAAATTTCTAGACTTCTAACCAGCAGATTTAAGACAGACATTTGAACTTGGGCTACAGACTATTAATAAGACGTGCTGAGGACACAGAAATAGTAAGTTAACATTTACATCCACATAGTTTACAAATTAGAAATCATATCATTCTTTGACTCTTCACTGTGTTATGTAGACTCATATTCTCTCTAATAGAATTGGATTCCTACACAGACACTAGTTGACCTACAGTAGTGACCAAAAGAGATGAAAGGCAGAAATTCACCTTATCCATGACTCTTTAAAGTGATTAAATTAGACCCATTTAGAAGTATGAATAACTCTGAATAGAGCATGAACTTTTTGAAATCTTGAGTTAAAATCCTGCTTCTCTCAACAGGTTATAAACCCTCATCCATAAAAGAATAATAATGCTGGCTTTACCATATTAATAATTAAATAAGATTAAAGAATGGACAGCACAATGTTTAAGCTATAGTTGGTGCCTCATGCACGTTATATTATTACAGTGTTTTCTTCTTTAAATCTAGGTGTTCTCTGCACATCAAGTTTTAATTGTTACTCTTGGTCTGTCTTTCCCGTCCCTACTCCTACTTCACATGAAGCAGAAGAAAGTTGAAACTTCAGATTCTCATCTCGTTTCAACGTCCACAGTAAAAATGGGAAATCCTTCTCCAGGAGTCTCCCACATATTGACACCTCATCCTCTGTCTCTCTCAACTGAAAATATGGCACCTGCCCCAGTCTACACTCCAACTCTGATGTTAGATCTATGATTCCCATCCCTTCCACCGAGGACATCATGGAAGTCAGTGAAAAAAAGTTTGTACTATTATCCTTATGACTTGAATATTTATTTTTCTACTCTACCTAGTTAGTTCAACATTATATATATAGTATATATCGTATATACTATGTCTATAAAACCTCAATTACATTTAACTTTTCCCAAGAACTTTAGAAGCATTATGTGCATATAAACAAGTTAATTTAAATGATTCCTACTTTTCTTTGGTCTCCCGTAACTCCCTTGTTTGTCCCTATGTCATCAATCATCTCCTCCTTTAAACAATCCTTTTTTCTAGAAAAAGGGCTGGCAAACGTTTTTTCTATAAGGGCCCGACGATAAGTATTTTCAGGTTTGTGGGCCATAAAGTCTTCATCAAAACTGCTCGACCCTGCAGTTGCACTTTGAAAGCAGCCACAGGCAATATGCTACCAGACGGGCATGGCTGTGCTCCAATAAAACTTTCTTCAGAAAAATGAGTGAAGGGATGGACGTGGCCCCAGGGCTGTACTTTGCCAATCCTTCTTCCAAATACATATATGTTCTCTCCTTCCTTCCCTTTCTTATAAGCAATACTCTGGTCCAAGCCCTCATCTCCTCTTCCCCTCCCCCTGCTCGGATTACCAAAACACCTACTGTGCGGTCTCCCTGTCTCTGGTCTCTCCTCCTCTAAACCATCCTGCCACCTCCCCCAAATTAATCGACCTCCAATAGCATGTTGCACCCTCCAGTTGCTCCCCCAGATTCCTCAGCTTGGTATTCAAGACTCAAGACCTTTTCTTACTTTCTGGAATGAATTTCTGTGCTTTCCATAGTACTGTCAACCCGATAAGAAAGTTGTAACATTTAAAATATGGAAATGATAGATGATGCAGTATTAGTCAGTATTTTCAGCCTCATCCTCACCATACTACCCACCAGCAGCATTATCCTCAAACAGGATGGATAATAGTATTTATCAAAGCTAGAGATCAAAGCAGGCCAAGAGACTTGCTCCTATCATTATCTGACAAAATTAAAATCCAAGAACCAAAGGAAGGAAGACTCCAGTTCTGGAAAGCACTGACCCTCTCTGAACCTATGCCCAGCATCATGTGATTCCAGAAGACAGAATTTCACGTAATCTCTAAGGTGTACTAAGTACCGCAGAATATATTATGCTAGTCAGGAACGCTGCACTTTGTGCCATAGCTAGCCACCAAAAAAAAAAAAAGAAAAAAAAAAAAGGAGGAATTTCAGGCTGTGATTTGAGAGCATTTTTATACATGACTGCTTTTACTGTCACAACCCATAGCCTTTCACTGATAGGGGATTTCATGTGACATCAGAAATCAACCAACCATACAATTGATGATGTCATTTGCATTCTAAAGGGCTATTGGTTAAAGCCTTAAAAGTTTCATTCCTTATGAATTCTTTGCTGCTTCAAAAAATTTCTCTATCATTTTTGCTATTTTCATTGGTCTCATGATTATCTGTTAATGTATGTGAATGAAGCATAATTACACCAATCATCACCTATTTTTTCAAAAAGAACTTAAAACTATCAAATAAGATACCTTAGCAAAAATTAACATATCTTAAGCATGGAAAAAAATATATCAAGAATCCTGCCACTGACATTTTGATAAAGTTTCCATCCAGTTTTACTAAAATTTTACTTTATATATTCGTAAGGTCTTTTATCCTCAAAGCGCTACATTTTGTTCTCAGTTATTGTGATAACATGTCACCCTTAAAGATAACCCTACGGACGATAACTCATGTACCAAAATCGGGTAGGTAATATAAGACTCCTGAATTATTTTACATAATATGATTTTTTTTTCAAATCACAGATGCTGCTAGAAGGGGGAAAATGTTCTTTAAAATTCTTCATCATGAATCTTTTTTTCTGCAAATCCTTTTTTTTCCCTCTACAAAGGCAATGTGAATAGGGGTAAAAGAAGACAAAACTTGACCTTTTGTGATCCCAGCATTAATGGGTCTGTTCATAATTCAATCTATGTGTGTGTGGGAGCACCCATGTGGAAACAGAGAGGCCTGAGAGACAGAAAGCCTTTCCCTTTAAACATTATCTGACCCTATCAGTCCCATTCACAAAAGAAGGCTTACGCATGCATATGGTGAAAAACGCACCATCTCATTGTGCGGCAGAAAGCCCACACATTCTACTCCTCATTCTCCGTGGAAATGCAGCACGGAAGTGACACTTGTACAGAATTTGGGAGAGTGACAAATGAGCAGAAGGTAGCAAAAAAAAAAAAAAAAATGAGTATTCTGATGAGGAAACAAGCCAAACTTGTGCAGGAATGCAAATGCACACCTGTCTACAGCGTACACGGGGGTTTCTTCATGAAAACCCACACAGGGCAGTTTAGTCACGTTTTTATGATGCATTCGTGCAATCCTTGCATTTAAGTAAATTCTCAACACGATTTAGTCAGCACAAAATATTATTCTTTTTATAACCATTCTAAAAGGTATGCATATCAAAGCCGTACATTCTGTACCGTACGTTCTGAACACTGTACTTCAATATTATGGATACTCTTTGAGGAGCTCCTGGTTTTTCAGTGATAGCTCAGCGCTCGGTTTGACTGCTATGTGGCCTTGAGTCCATCCTTGTCTGTAAGGAGGACTCCCAAGCACTTCGCACTGAATTGTCACTTGAAATCAACATGAAGGGCAGCAGCCTCTACGCAAGGAGTGCCAGGTTGGCACGTAACATACAGGACGGTCTCCAAACCAGGCCAGAGCTTAAACTTAAGACCAGGGAACTTTGCAATTTATACCATAATTAAGAAGAACCAGAAAGGGGGAAGGGAGATGAAAATGAGTATTGTAAACTTCCTAAAATCACTTCTTTGTTTCAGGCCCAAGAGTACAGTGTTTTTCAGGTTAAGAAGCAATGATAACCCAGACTTGAGGAACGAAGACTACAAAGGACATGGGAACCCGTGAGCAACTTTAAGTGTCTCTTGATTTGGAAGGATGGCTGCAGAGGAACCACCGGGAAACCTGGAAGGGATACCACCTCTATTCCTACCGCGTCGACGACTGCCAGCTTTGCAACAGGTTCCTAGAAGTCTTTCAAGATGGAAAACATTTTGGAAGGAAATTTATCTTGTTTCCAGCCAGAGGTTCCTTGTGTGCTGCCTTTAAGCCTATTCAAGAAACTAACATCCCCATCCACTCATGGGAGAAGGGGTGACTGAAAATAGAGATATTTTGAATGTCTATAACTCACCTGAAAATAGGGCTATGATGATGGCAACAAGGATGATGTCAACTACACCTTTTGAGGAAGCAACGAGAATATGCCTCACAGACTTCTCACTACAGGAGCATGATTGACCAAAGGTTCCAGCTATGGTGCTCTCATGGCCATGGCCATGTTGGCACCAGTGGCTGAGGATACTAAGGCAGGTCCACCCCAGGGAGTCACAGGACTCCTGTGTCTGATGGACAATTTGGGTTCAAGGATATACCACCAGCTTCGCTGCACCTTCCTTAGACTGCACAGCACTGGAGGATGCTCCCACCCTCCTCCTTTCCTCCCTCCTTCGGTCATGTTCAAGCCCGCATTTCAGTCCGGCAGTTCTCTCAGCCTCACCCAGAGCTCTCCTCATTTTCTCCCATAGGCGTTTCTTCTAATAAAATCCATACACATCTCATGATGCATACATCATTATTATTCCTAGTTTTCAGGTGGAAAATTTCATGAAAAAAACACAGGATTGTAAGATAAAACTATAGGCAGCAGAAATCTAAATCTCAGATTTTATGATGTTCAGTTTGGTTTTTGAAATATATCTAGAAACACAATATTTTTGCGAAAAAGATAACCGTGGGCAAAAATAAATATTGAAGCAATCTCTCCCACAAGTTTTGTTTTCTCTTCACCATCACAGTTTCACATCTCTGTACATGAATTAGGGCCAAAACTTGATATCATTGATTTTTTTTCTAACCAAAACACTAGCAATTACACATCAAGATTAATATAAACACTTTCAAAGTAATGACATGGAAATTATTTTCATAGTATATCAAATATACTTAGAGATTAGTACACACACTCTCACACACACAAATACATATTCCCTTTACTGTGTGTGTGATTTTTGAAGCAAACAAAAGGCACTGGAGCCATGGCTGATCAGGCAAATATGTGACCATGTCAGGTGCTGTAGGAAGAACACTGAAGTATATTGGCATTAAATAAACATTGATGTGACAATAAAGAAGAAACACCAATTAGCATAAGTACTGGTAGGTTTTCCAGAAAAGATCATTTTTATTTCTAGTGTTACTAATAAGGTAGCATTAAAAATGATATACTTAACATAAAGATCATTTTCCTGGGCCACTTCAAGTTTTCAGTTCCATTGAAATTGTAATTTTCCACAAAATATTAAAGAGCAAAATAATCACAATATTTAAAAGGCAGAAAATACTTAATCTGTTCATTCTTTTAGGTTATTTTCTATTTAGCCTCTAATAATAATTTTGTTACTATAGATATAATTTTAATTATACTAGCTAAACTAGAGATATTTATTTGCATTTCCTAAAGTTTACTGTATCAGGATACATGATAGAATCATTTTATACTTACTGGGAAAACGTAATAAAACTCTCCAACTGTGATTAAAAAAACACTTTTCAAATGAACTGAGGACAATATTTTTTAAATTTATAGCTAAAAAACCTTGTCTTTAACTTGTCAATACTACACGGAGTGACTTAGAACTATAACTTTAATGTGTGCAGTTGTTATTTGTTACATCTTAGGAATTACGCAAGCTGAATTTTTCTCATGAAATAGCTCTACTGAGATTAACAATCAATGTTTACAATATAGTCTTTAACACTGAACATATACAGGTCCCAAATATTAATGTAGGTTTTAATGTAAGACTTGAATTCACTCGGGAAAATTTGATCCATTGTACCTGTTCATCTTCTATAAAACACACAGCAAAGGAGATGCAGCCACAATGATAAGGAAATATTAAAACTCTAAAGGTAGGATAGATTTCTTCCAAAACGTCAAAAGAGAATTATATGAAAGTTTAATTTTTAAATATTCCCAAGTTGCTCATAGATTTTATTTACTGACAGTGGTACATGGAAATGAGCAAATTCATGATCTTTTCTCAGAAAGATTAAATGCTTTTGCATTCCAGGAACTACGTGAAAATCATTCTCCCCTTGTCTAACACCAATTTCGTATTATTATTTCATTTATGGAAGCTGCTGTCGACTGCACAGCGTGAGCTTTGGGGGAGAAGCTGCTCTCGTGCCCTTATTGCAAGGTTGCCTGCGGAACCTGACGACTAGCTCACTTAGTCTTGACATTTGTAAACTGCAGTTTTTCCTTGATAAGACGTAACATGGTTAGCATTTCTAAAATTCAGAACAATAATTCTATTCCTAGAAAGTCATAAAATAACAATAAGATTTAGTATTTATTCAAAGTTCAACAAAATTGTAATGTTTTTCCTGCTAGTAAGTTCTATAATTTCCAGATTCAAGTTGCATGCAATAATTGCCTAATTTGGGAAATTTATGAGAAGGTATTCATAAGTATTTTTCAGAAAATTATAGTATGATTATTCTTTCAAGCCTATAATTATTTTTCAAGCTATCTCTGTCAATAAAATGATTTTGGGTTTTGACCAATTTTTTCCATTATCTTGTGATCTAATAACTATAGTTTGTTCACTACCGGACCCAAGTAAAATTTGTCTTAAATTTAAAATCAGTTCCTTGTAGTTTTGTAATACAGTTTAAAAAGTAAGTTCCTTACCTCTTCTTGTGTCTGATGTAGTCCCTTTGCTGTCATTGAAAGAATAACTTTTTCAGTAATTTTCTCTTTCTGTTTATCCACGGCCATGTTCAACTAGAAAATAAAGAAATGACATGAAAATAGGCACCTATTGACACATAATAGCAACATTTACTCAAACAACTAATTTAGCATAATTATGGAAGGTGATTTGAAATTAATTTGGCCCGTACTTATGTGAAAATGAATTCCATTTATATTAAATAAGTTGAAAGTTCATTTTTATATTTAAAACATTTAACACTCTGAATTTTTCACTTCCACTTCCATTGTTTTTAAGTTTACTAAAATACGACTCGAGAGGGGGTCCTTAATTGCAGATATTTGATACTGATGAGTACGTTTTTAAAGCATTTTATCAAAATGAGCATAGCAACTTTTTTCTTTAATTAGGCTGACAATTCCTACTAAAATCTTTCATTGCCAGTAGGAAATAAATTGGCTGCTGTTATGTCAGGATAAGAATTCAAGGACATAAACCAGAACCAAATGTCAATTCAAACACTCTAGAATAATGCGAAGTGATTTATAATATTTCATGACAGAGGATAATGTATCTGAAATAGCCGAACAGCTACCCTGACCGGCTCCATTCACCGAGCCAGATAAAGGTCTGCTGCTGCTCACCTACGTGTTGTGAAAAGGCGAATGCAGCCCAGTCTATATTCCCTTATAAAAATTCCCTTTGAAACAAAATGCTACTTTCACCAAAAAGAAAAAGCTAAACACATACAATAATATTCACTCAACAGAGTGGCATTGATAGAAAGAAAGAAAACAGTAGCCCGACACAGACCCTCTGAATTGAAATTTTAACTCTTAAGCAGTGGACTTGCCATGTTGTACCTCCTTATTGAGGATTAAAATGAATAATGACCCTTTTTTGTTTTGTTCCTGTTGCTGTTGTTTTAAACAGGCCGTCTCAGCTGTCGGCCTGGCTGACCATGTTTGAGTTAACATGGATCTTTCATCCGTACCTGCCTGAAGACCCACTCCTGTGCTTGGGATGCAATGGGGGTGGCCTCAACAGGACGGCCTCCTCGATGCGACTGCGCACATCTGCTAGAGGAACACCATGGAACCTGCACTTCATCCACCGACACGCGATACAGCTCAGTCCGTCAGAGATGCTGTGTGGTGGAGGCGAAAGGCCCAGGGATCTTGAGGTGATTCTGATGATCACCCTAGGTGAGGAGTTCACCAACACTGCTCCAAAGGGCCAGACTGTAAATATTTTAGGCGTGGGGAGGGGGAGGCAGACCGCCTGTCCTTCAGTGACCCAACTCCGCCTGGCAGCATGAAATAGACAATGCATAAACGAACGAGCATAGCTATTCTTGAATAAAACTCAGAAAACAGACAAGCGACAGGCTGAATTTGGTTGGCAGGCAGCGGTTTGCCGATCTCTGTTCCAGGTTTTAAGAACCACTGATGAAAAGTTAAAAAAAAATCATCGTGTGAAACTGTTCTTAAGAGCCCCCCTCCCCAAGGAATATTTTTCCTGTGCCGAAGTAAAACAAAAACATAACATGACACAACGTCAACTATCAAGCCTGACCCGCACACGTGGAAGCCTGTGTGTGGACTGAGGCTCATATACGGGTCTCAAGTCTCCATGGTCATTTCTTCCCGGGGGGATTCTCATCTCGGGGGAGACAGGTGTGGAGGAGAGCGACTGGGGAATAGTCACCAAGGTCATCTATTCTTTAAAATCTGACTTCCAAATGCAAAAACATTCAGAGCAGAGCTTCCTTTGAAGGGAAAACAAAACAAAACGAAAGCAGAGCTATGAAACACTTTGGTGCCAGAGCAGTAAGTCAGATTCTAACGACGTCTCCCAGGGCCATGACATTTAGGACTGCTTCCAAGCAACTCTTAAAAGGTGGTAATTCTTAACCGCTGAAAGCACCACAGTTGGAAAAATCACCTCCATTCTCATACTCAACCTCCAAAGAAGCAACTAAAGACTGAGGGAAAACACATCAACATTCCTGAAAAGCACCGTAGGTATAGTACCAAACAGGGAATCCAGCAGGATGCTGAGAGATAAACGGTCAACGAATGTAAGGATACACACATGGGGCCTTTGCTGGAGACAGACCAGCCATTTCAAGAGAGATATTTCAATACAATCATATAGGAGAAAATTATTGTAAGTGAAAAGTCAAACTAAGAAAGCCATTTTCACCCTGAGTTATTAATAATATGCAGTGCTAACAGCACGCCCCTCTCAAGTCCCACATGATAACAATAGTAGCATTCTTCTCTCCTGTCACTTTGGAGAAGATCCTCTTGTTCCTTCATTAAGAGAAAACTAGTTGCTTCTGATTTGCTGTTCTTATCTAAAATACATGAAATAATATTTTTGTCAATGGATTTGAAATTTCTGAGACTAATTTTTCATGTATAAAGAGGGTAGAAACTTCAAATCAAAAACAGAAAGGATGGACCTTGAAGGCATTATGCTAAGTGAAATAAGTCAGACAGAGAAAGACAAATACTGTATGATCGCACTCATGTGTGGAATCTAAAGAAAACCAAAGCAAAACACCCAGTTCATAGAGACAGAGAACAGACTGGTGGCTGCCAGGGGTTGGGGGCAGGGGGTTGAAATGGGTGAAGGGCTTAAAAGGTACAAACTTCCAGTTATAAGATAAATAAGTCTTGGGGATGTGATGGACAGCATGGTGACTAGAGTTAATAATACTGTGCTGCATATTTAAAAGTTGTTAAGAGAGTAGATCTTAAATGTTCTCATCACAAGAAAAAAATTCTGTAACTATACGAAGTGATGGATGTTAACTAGACAGCGTGGTGACCATTTTGCGATATATATCAAATCATTATGTTGAACACCTGAAACTTTTATATATGTCAATTATACCTCAATAAAAAAACCCCCAGAATGATGACTAAAACTTCTTGAGAACTGTGAAAAGCCAAATCTCTACCAAACAGGGGAGAGAGAAACTGAGTCACTCTGTTCCCGGTATACCTTGTCCTTTTTGAATGTGAGAAAACACCCCAACCACTCGTTGTGAACATGAAAGTCCAACAAGCTAAACAGGAAGGTTTAATTTGCCATTTTTGTCAGGCCCTGCTGCTAAGTTTAAAACCATGTAAGTAACAAACACCAGCTATCCAAAATTCGTTTAAAGTTGAGCTCATTCAATATTAAAGTAACCAGAATAGAACAATCAAGAAACTTGTCAAGGCCAGCACAGAAATGGAAGAAACAAGAAACATAACAGCTCTGTCAAAGAAAACTGGACAAAAACACTGCCAGAAATTGTCTGGTTAGAGAAACAAGATTAAAAAGGATGAGTTCACCTTGAACGACTTGTTTACGAATTAAAAACAAAAAATTCCACACGAGTAGCCCTGAAGCAGCAGAGTCCCGCGAAACGACTTCTAGTGAATGCTGCTTTCAGACTGTCTCCATTTTACACAAACTATTGATGCTGCGGTTGCTGGCAACGTCCTTTCTCTGCAGCCCTAAAGGGCCATAGTTTAGTAACACGTAGTTCCATACGAAACATGCAGCCGGTTGGGAGGGTCACAGAAAGCGCTTTTAATTTTCAGGAGTTCTTCAAGCGCTTGCTGCTCCTCAAGCTCCACTGTGGACGTCCTAGAGGAGAAACAGGCCCAAGGCCTCCTACTGGAGAAACACGGACAAACAGCAGGGATGGCATTTCACGTGAGTCATCGACAGGATATGGCTTTCTCTTCTTGTTTTCTTAACTCCTCCCTAAAATATTTTAAAGTGTATTTATAAAAATCACAAAGACTGTGTAAAAATTTTAACATGGCAGTGAGGTAAAATGAAATCTATTTTACGAGAGAAAATAACTCTAAAGCAAACTCTGAGTCCAATTACTAGTATCTTTAGAGAGGGCACAGCAGTCGAACAAGCTGGAGTGTTCCGTCTGTGTAATTCCTGCTGACATTCCAGACGGGTGCCAGCCAAAGACGGAGGAGCCCAGGAGTCCAACCAAACCCTCGGTGTCTGAACTGTAGCTCTGCAGGTACTTTTCTCTGTATTCAGAAGAACAGCCAGGGATTCAAATGTGGAGGTTATGAGATGTGTTGTATGTAAAGTCCTTCACCGGTCAACATAACCCAACAAGAAAACTGAATCTTTCTATCAAAACTCTGTCTTTGACCTGTAAATATTGATCTATTAATAAATTATTTCATCCATATTTTACATGCAGATATAGGCAATACAGTTTAGCATAAACAACAGGACAATCAGCCTTCATATATAGTGACAAGTTTCCCAATGGTCTGTTAATATACAAAAGACTGGGACAAATTACTTATTTATATATACAAAACATGGTTATAAAGGCCAGCTGCAGGTATTTTTTGGAAAGTGCATTTTAATAAGGTCCTATTCAGTTAGGGGACAAATGGGGAAGAAGTAGTTTGCACTACAGAGTTTAGCGCAAGAGCTTTCTCTTTTTCTAACCACGAAATCAATCATTTGTCCAGACTGTGGGAGTCAGAGTTAGTTACTGAAAGAGCTCCGTATATAAACAAGTCAATAACTCATTGTGTGTTATTGTCGAGCTGAAGAAGTCGGCTTTCAAAAAGCTGCCCCTGCTTCTCTCAGAATGAATGTCACTGTATTCAGAGGCTGGGAGAGCGCCCTTTGTTTCCAGCCATTGCTGCTGCCATGTATGTATGGGAACAGGAGGTGGCTGCTGGGAGTGTGGGGGAAGCCACAATGCGGTATCACGATGTCCAGGAAAAACTCTGAATTTTGTCCACCTAAATAATTTGTGTCTGGAAATGCATTAATGGAATTCATAAAGAGCGGCCACACACACAAAAATATGTGGTAAAGGAGTTAAAGGATAAATGAGTTTGTATCATTTTAAATTGGACTAGGCTGCTATTTTCCGTTCCCTACCTGTCAACAAAGATGAAACCAAAATAGAGAAAATGGTTTGAAAAGTTCAAATGTACAAAATCAAACTAGTGGATAGGTCAACATGTCACACAAATACTATCCATTCCTGCCATGAATATCAGGGGTGATTCTTGGGGCT